AGAAGCTGAGCTGCTCAGACGCTGCAGGACCTTTAGCTGCACCTTGATGCGTCAATCATTGACTCTGCATGGAAACCTGCTGCTTGCAGTGCTAACGTAGCGTTAGCATGGATAGCGCTTCCTGGATGGAACGTGGTTGGTGTTCAGAATAATAACCTCCACGCTGTGAGGACGTCGTCTAAAGATAAACGGTTTGGAGAAACAAAGAAGCGTTTAGCTGCGAAAGAGAGACTGAGCCTGAAGGCAGCATGCTGCTGCCTTCAGGCTCAGTCTCTTAGGAGGGATTTCCTTCTGCTCATTAAAAACTAACAGACTAACTTCTATTGTTAAAGTAGAGGAAGTAACTGATCAAAGGATCAACGGCCTAAACCAGTTTGATCTAGTTTTAAGCAGGAAGTGCAGCATCTGTCACAGAACGTCCAACAACTTCAGCTCCACATCAGTTTATCAAACATCTGTAGATTATTTCCTAATCTGCTGCTCTTTGGATTCACGCCTGTCTGACGTCATGAGAGGCCAACATGGCGGCCGCGTCAGGCAGCAGTGTTTCTGAGCGTCTGATTGGTGGAGGCGCAGACACACCTGGCTGTCCCACGGCGCTGAGGCGCGTCATCAGGTGACGTGTGTTGGGTCGGTGCATGTGAACGTCTGACAGCACCGTGTCATGCTGGAAGGTGATCTGATCCATGGACACAGCAGCAGATCACAGCTTCAGATTATTCTCAGCATGCTGGGATTAGGATTACAGCTGGCATCACTCCACTGGGCTGTTAGCTCCTCATCATCATCATCTTCATCATCACCATCATCTTCATCACCTGGTGGAAATAAAAACAACTATTTTCTCCAGAGATGTAACAGCGACTGAATGGGATTAAAAATAAGGGGATTATTTCCTGTTTGGGGGAAATCTGGATGATTTAGAGCCTCTAAAGGAGCCTGATAGCAGGAGGCGATCTGCTTTCTATCTTTGGACCTGAAGCTCAGCAGCTATTTCTAGAATTCTATTTCTAGAATGAATGTTGGCTCCACCTGTTGACAGAGATCACTGGGTGTCCGATGAATGGGAATAAACTAATGTAATCCCTCATAAACTAATGTAATCCCGCATAAATTACTGTAATCCCTCATAAACTACTGTAATCCCTCATAAACTACTGTAATCCCTTATAAATTACTGTAATCTGTGATAATTCCACCCATGCCATTAGCAGTTAAAGTTTTCACACCCCTGGATCAGGTTTGTCGGAGCAGAAAAACATCAAAACAGCTAGCCGATGCTAACCCTGCTAGCCGATGCTAACCCTGCTAGCCTATGCTAACCCTGCTAGCCGATGCTAACCCTGCTAGCCTGTAAATCAGGGCGTTCACGCGGAAACAACCTGGTTCTTCTTGAAACTTTCCCACCAAAAGTTCGCTTAGAAACGGAAGCAGCTTGACTCACCAGCGGAACCTTCAGCCGCTCGGCCGACATGACAGTTTGTGGTGCGTTCAGGAGCCTCGGAAACAGAATATTCAACCAAAAATGAGCGAATTAAGCGGCCATCGAAATGTTTTTATCGGTTTTCTGTCAGCAACAAATAAATAAATAATATTTTAACACAATGACGTAACTTGTCTGCATTTCAACATATTAGACGTCAAGCTCAATGAGGTTACATTGTCCGTATTTCTGAGATTTTTATAATTACGAGTTCCCATCTAACATTGAACGCAGCGTGTTCTCCATGGTGCGTTTGTTATTCCTCGGAAATCTCACTATTATAGATTATTTTACAGAAGTCTTAACTAAACACGTGACCGAACTAAAGCAGCTTTTTCTGAACTTTTATTTTTACTATGGCGTTTTACTTTTAATCAATAAAATTGTAATGTCTTTGTAACTTTTTTCTCAAGATGATTTATTCCAAAAAGAAAAAAAAAAAACGCAACAGGAGAAGTAAATGAAGAGTCACCAGAAGATCAGGACCACTGGTGTGAACTCTCACCCATTGGAAGTCACACTCACCCATCTCAGTGTCTTCACACTCACTCCATATTTCTCACAATAAAATTGACAGACATTAAAACTCAGTCTAGTTTAATAATGTCCCACTGGAATTTAGGAGGAATTAAACCAACACAAATATTTTAACTCTTAAAGCTTCCAGATTTGGGTCTCAAACCCATAGAAGCTCCATTAAAGAAAAAGAATGATTGCATTTTATTTCTCAAAGATCAGCAAAGCAAAGACCGACCGCATCCAGAGATGATGAGCAGAACAGCTGAATGATCCAGGAGAAACCACAGGGATGTTCTCAGTTTATTATTTCTTATCTTATTCATTTATCCTTATTTTGGTCCATTAAAAATGTTTGAAAACTTAACTTCCATCAGACCTTCCAAACTGAAACACCCAGAGGACTGTTTCCTGTCATGGAGAGTTTCTATCAAACCTGCAGCCTCCTAAAGGGTCTGAATGTTTTGCTGTTTTCCCATTTGTACAAAAAACTAATAAAATAATAACTTAAGATATTTAATCCTTATTACCAAATATTCAGTGTGGTTTGAATGGGATTCCATTGCTCTGGTTCCTGTATCAGTGCCAGTAATCCTGTAATAACTTATTAGTTCCCGTTGTTTATCTTACTTGAACTGCAGAGAATAATTAATAAACAAAGTTGCTAAATTCTTAGTTTAAAGTATATTTAAGATGCAGGTATTTTAGTAGGGCCCATTCTGCTTTACTTTAATTCTCTAAAATCACCAGAATGTAGAAAATAATGGATATTGTGAGAAAAATGTTCCACATATCTGATTGTTATTCAGTAACATTTACTAAAAATTTCATATTTTTCCACTTTGATTCAGTGAAATCCTCTGAAAACCTCCAACCTAGAGCTGCACCTGTCCTCATCTCACTCTGATAATCTATTTCTAAATCTCAGCTCAAGGTTTGGGGAAAAGTTTGCAGCCCTGGAAATGTAAAATAATGGACAGATTAAATGATTCAATTGGTTTCTGTTTTTAAAAAAAATCAAAAAATCAAATTTCAATTTCCTGTTTCGTCTGCATTTCTAGTATAGAGCTAAAGAAGTAGAGATGAGAACACACTGGAAATTAGATCTATGTGACCAGGTCCTGGTTTAACGAGACTAAATAAACCGATTTCTGTATTTATAGATGATTGTTTTTATGTCTCATCACCAAAACCAATTCCTCGTCCGTGTAAACATCACTGGGCTATAAAACGTCTCAGATTCTGATATGAGACGATGATGATGAGCAGCGATGATGACGCCATTTTGAAAGAGAGATGTGATGAAAAATGGAGAGAAGAAAAGAGCAGTAGAGGTTTGGACGTTTGGATTAAAAAACTCTAAAAACCTGAAGAAATGACCTTAAACGCAACATGACCGTCTGGGATTCCCTCTGACAGCAGATTAGGCCTCAATGAGGATGAAGAAAGGTGCTTGTTCTGATGAAGTTCTGATCCAGTGGAGACCAAGTCAGAACCAGTCAGAACCAGTCAGAACCAGAATGACGTGTTTCATTGGTTTTTAGAAGTAGAACCAGATCAGCTGCTTCTAAATAATTTGATTTGATTAAATGTTTTATTAATGTCATCAGACCCGATAAAATGATGATGAATATATTTAATTCTATTTAGTTTATTTCTACACCTCCAATTCACATAATGTCATCTCAGGTCACTTTATAGATCCAGATCATCCAGATCATCCAGTCAGATTGATTCATAGTTTTCTATCTGAGGAAAACCAGCTGATTGAGATGTGGATGTTTGAAGGGCTTCGGGTCTGGCTCCCTGTCTCGGTCCTGGTCCATGCCGTCCCCTGGTGGGGGGCCTTGTCCAGGGTGGGGGTTCCACATGGCGCGGGCGGGGTTGTTGTTTTTATTCTGGATAGCCAGGAGGTAAGGTGGACGGGATGGTGGTGGTTTGGGCCCTGGTGGTCGGCTGGCTCATGGGCCCTGCTGCCGGTCCCTGGCCCCCAGACTATGGTGGTGTGACTGGTGGGGAACGGGGGGGAACGGGGGTGCCTATTGGAGCCAGCGGGGGAGCTGGCTCCCTGGGAGTGCAGCAAGCACCTCAGTCCTTTGCTCCCCATCCCCGTAATCCTCCCTCTGCCTGCTCCATCACTCTGCCACATGTAGGTTTTTGGGGAGGGGGTCGTTACTGGAGGGCCCCACCTTCTGATGACGTCCCCCACCCCAATTTAATTTTGCATTTTAGACGCTTCCATCTGCATTTTCACAACACACATCTATTTACAGCATAGATGTCCGATGTTCCTTCCTTTTTTTACAGTTCTGTAATCTCTAAAGGCGCAAAGTTTCCATAATTAAAAGCTGTAATAAATTAGCTTTCTGAAAAGAAGCTTGAAATATTTTTACTCCAGAAAAAAGAGACCAAAGCATGGTGGGTTGGAACGGCCTAGTCAAAGTCCTCTTATTGGTCCACAGTAGACCTCTATGTCTTCCGCTCTCTGGGTTTCATTATGGGATGGAAAAACATGGATGATGCTGGTCACATTTGGACTACAGCCTCCAGGAAGAGAACTACAAACCCCAAGGTTCTCCAGATGGAGCTAATCTCAGAACTAAATTCTGTTCTGAAAGCCAAACATCTGGAGAACATCAGCCTGAGCCACAGAGAGGAACATCAGGGGCTTCCTCTGCTTAAGGAACCATTACAGGAAGTTTCCTGCTTCCTCTTCCTCCCTCCTTCCTCCTTGCCTGCTCTGTTCAGACAGAGCGGATCATGGAGACCCGCTGGACTCCAGCTTTAGCTGCAGATTTGACCAAAGTTTAACAAAACCAAACATCCTGTCAGCATCAGCTCCTACCATCTACCAGGTACGGAGGTGGGGGAGTGTTGATCTGGGCTTCACTGTCCAACCAGGTCACCAACCCAGAAACCATCCCAGAGACAGCAGACGTTTCTCCACTGCAGCGTCCTGGTGGAGCTCTGGAGGTTTGAACGTCCATCGTCTGCTTCTGACCAAACTCTGTTTTTATGTTTCCAGATGCAGCTTCCTGCCAGCTGGGGGCGCTCTGGAACATGCAGCCACTGATCTGTTTATTCCCTGGATCGCTGATTGCCTGTTGGTAGCACAGAGTGGAGTGAAGCCACTGGCCGCCATATTGGTACTCCCTAGTTAGACCGGTCGCAACGTAAACAATCTGTGAGCTACAGCTTTGAACAACCATGATGTTCATTTTCAGGGAGACTGAAGACTTTTAAAATAAAGATAAATTCATCACTTAAATACAGACTGGCTGTTTATAGCATCAGTAGATTAACTTTAACTTAGAATAAAATAATAGACCCGTCACATTGCAGAGTCATTATGAAGTCTATAAATTATGTAATAAAAGATATTTATATATATAGGTCATATGTTTGAGTTGCTTTTTTTCTGTTAATATAACCTGCAATATATTTCAGCTCATGACTTTTTCAAATGAGAAATAAACCCAAACACTGTAAAAACCACAGCATCATCTTAATAAAGAATTCCTACATTAACATTTCCCAGTGAATAACTTTCTGTTTCCTCTACTTTCTATTTTCTAACCTTAGACCCAATGTCAGCGTCTAACTCAGTCAATGTCTTCCAGTCAGTCTGAGATAGCCAGACTAAAGTTAGTCTGCAGACTAAACTATAGGATCCATCGGCTATAGATGGATTTATTGATTAGTTCATCCACTGACTGGGAAATTACCAGTGGAACGTCTTCCTGCAGCCAGAAAACTGCTGGTTTTAGCAGCTAAATGCTGAACAGGGAGGGATTTATACCGTGCATCTCTGTGGGAGAG